GGGGGGGGAGCCTGTGCAGCAAATCGGCTCGATGTCTATTTAAACAATCAAGAAAATAACATCACACAGATCAGATTCGATCAACGTCAACACACACAAAGAAATCAAGGGAATTCCCGAGCACCCCAGAACCGTCCTATGCTCTAGTTCTACAAACAAAGACACACATCAAAGCCACAGGGCTAACAAAATGGTCAAACAATAGACTTGAATTACAATAATATCCTAGACCATGCACTGACATGGCTGTCCAGCTGTCGATCTTTGCTCTCAATTAAAAAAAAAATTCGCTACGAATTGCGTGCCCACAAGGGGCGCCAAAGGAATTTAAGCAAAGGACCAGTCTCACTTCAACCGAGTGCGCGAGGCACACCCCCCCCCCCTTGTTGGCTAAAAATTGAAATGGTGCACTCCATGATGACCGGAAATACGTTACAGTGCAAAGTCTAGGATATTGAGGCACAAATCTATGGGTAAAACAAACTAGAGCAATTGAAGAAAGGGAGTCTATAAAGGAAGAAAAGCATGATGGGTAACGGGAGACGTAAGCGGCAGCAATACGTTCCCCTCAAGTTCAACAGTTCTACAGCTTATTCAACACAAACCGGGCTTAGCGGGGTGAGGGGGGTGTTTACACTGCCATTCGAAAATTTGAAAGAAAATCTGGTACATGTATTTGATATACGAATCTGGGTGAAATCGACTAATGACTTCATTTGCATAAAAATGCGCACCTCTTTCTGTCTTTAGTTTGGTATACATATCAATATGAAGATGTATTATACGACTCCGATAGGTCCCAGTCAAATGGATTGAAAGCTTTAAAAACTTCATAAAACGACCCGAGTTCAAGAACAACCCAGTCTGGGATTCGAACCAGAGCTATCCACACAGTAGTTCAGCATGGCACCAAATGAGCTTAAGATATGAGAAAGAACATTTTGAAAAGAAGTCATTGCTTAAAACAGTTGGGTTTTTTTTTTTTTCAATTTGCATCAAGATGTGTTTTGTTTTCAATTCAAATGGCAGTACAGCCCCCCCCTCCCCTTTCAAGCCCATCAATTCAGTCTCTAAAACTTAAAATTTCTAAATGTGGGTGTTTTTACTCCTCCATCGATACAAATTCAGTCTCTTTGAGAGTTTACTTCATGTATTACTTCCGAGGTCAAGACCCAAGTAAAGAAAAGCACACGGGCACAATAATACAAGTAGTCACGTATGGTTGGGAAACAGCAAGATAAACACACACACACACAGACACACACACACACACACACACACAACACGCACAAAAACACATAGAGGGGCAGAGAGAGAGATAGACAGAGAGAGAGAAAGAGAGATAGATAGATAGATAGAGAGAGAGAGAGAGAGAGGGGGGAGGAAGGGAGGGGGGGAAGGAGGGAGAGAGACAGAGGGAGAGACAGAGTAAAAAAGTAGTTTAAAAAAAAGTAAAGTCTGTTTAAAAAAAAACAAAAAAACATTCACAGGTATATTTTTGCCCCGACCCAAAATCACTGGGTGAAATCAGACACAGTGAGAAACAAACAACAAAACATGTGAAGAACACATCTATGACTATTAAATTAATCACACCCACACAAATCCCATAAACATGCATTACGATATCCTATCATGACCGCCTCTCTCTCTCTCTCTCTCTTTCTCTCTCTCTCTCTCTGCTCTCTGTAAAAACGTCGGTGCACTAGTGCGCACCATGGTAGCGCAAATAAATGGCCGAACACCAGTCTCCTTATAGTGTAATGCGCACGCAACCTTTCCTTCCTTGAACTTCATTTGGTTCTAAATCAAAGATAGTAAATAACAAGATGGGCCACTCAGCCAAAAAAGTATCCGCAGGAAGTATGCTCTTTGCTTCCGATGGCGCTGCAGTCTGTTTTGAAGCTCTCTTTCGTTTTTCCAGAAGAAGAATAGGAATAGCACCTCCTTGCGTGCGCAGATCGACTGCTGTTCATCAGCAGTTCGGGTTCGTTCAGTACGGAGTTTTAGTTTTTTAAAATTTTAATGACCTCTCGCCTTTCATTCTAAAGTCAAATTAAACGAAGAAAACAATCACCCTTTCCCCTGGAAGAGGTTTTTTGTCAGCGTAACCATTTAAAAAAAGCGTTCTTCCGAAATTCATTCAAAAACTTGCTAGTTTCACTTTGCTTTTTTAAACTCAAGTAGGATAACTCTGTTCGCTAAAGGTGCGCTTTTGCGAAGAGGGCGCCACCGAATTTTGAGGACACTTTTTAAATTGGCTCAAAGAGAGAAGTGGCCCCTCTTGTTATGTAGACTCTTTGTCTAAATTGCGTCTCACAATACGCTCCATGATGGACTGGAATCATGTTATGTTGCGAAAAAAAATGTGCTAAATTGTATAGGTTTACCGTCGCTTGCAACATGTCATACAGACTTACAAAGTCTGCTCTACTCTGGCGTTGACCAGATGACAAGGACATGTGGTTACTCGAGGGAGGCATTGCGCTGCCAAGAGCGAAATGCTCGCAGCTAAAGGGGTTTGAAAACAACAACAACAACAACATGTCAGAAAGGGCACAGTATATTACAAAACAAGTCTATGGACAAAAGCAAAACAAACTCAAAATGGCACGTGTGAGCGCTGCCACCACAACTGACCTCATCCGGAAGGTTGAGCTTGACGTCATCACCAGGTGACCGGGGCGGTTCCGCTTCTGCCAACACAGACAAGAACAAAACCAATCAAAACGTTAGTCACTGGCACCACGTGACCCTGGGCATTCTGACTGTAACAGCAACAGCCGTTACTTTGTTATTTTGACCTTTTTCCCCCCTTTTGATCTTCATGTAGGGATGACAATGGGATTTTGCGGAAAATACCTGATAAAAAAAAAAAGAAAAACGTTTGCTTCTCCCATCGACATCGTGAAGTAAAAGAGGCCGGAGAAAGTACAACTTAAAAGAAAGTCCCTTACAATTTACGAAGTTGCATTTGCAAATAAAGACACATGGATAGACACGACTAATATGGGTTTGGTTTTACAAAAAACAAATGCTGAGAATAAAATAGATAACATTTTTTTTTTCTAATGAAAACTACTGGGGAAAAGAGAGGGGGGGGGGGGTCTCAATTCTTTTATTCACATACGACGTGACTTGGAGAAAGATTTTTCTTTAGACAATGGTAAACGTTCACATGGATCAGATACTGTCGCACTTGTACTAAGCGATCACCTTTCCCTTTGCGGACACGTATCTACAAGGGTCACTTTTCTACGTGATTATGTGTGACCGTTATGGACAGGGTCGACTGTACGGGAGATGTGGGCTATTGATGGGAAGGGCAAAGTGAAATGATTTGAAGGAAATTCAAACATGTTGAAGGAAATCATGTATGATGAGGGCGTTTGTATGGGGTCGAGGACACAGAAGAGTGGACGTGGGAGGGGGGGGGGGAGATGGAAAAATAGCATGAAGTCATCATTAAACCGAGAACGATGTAAAATTCGGTTGAGCAGTATCATTGCCACCATTTTCTATCATGGTCTACAAGATAATCGATTTCGTTCCTAAGTATGGACTGTCTTTCCATAAAGAATACTGAAATCCTGTACTTTTTTCTCTAGTATTAACCGATTTATAAGCATAATAATAATATTATAAATATAATTACATAAAAA